TGTCCCTTGCCATGTACACCTGAATCTTGACTCTTTTCTCTGTGGCTGCCTCATCTGTGTTTAGAGCATGTCATGGGTTTACCAGATGACTCAATTGGAAGCAGCACTCAATGCCATCCAATGTACTTACAGTTAAGATACTTTCCTAGGGGAGAGAGTGAAACCTCGCTGTTAAAAAGGGCCAGAGAGAATTTGCAAGGGTGGCTAATTGTTTAAGGTTTGCAGTGCAGTGTGCTGGAAACTGCAAAAGAAAGCTCTGGAGTACAGTTTTGAGCTAGAATAAAAGAAAACTGAAAGAGGCTAAAAATGAAGACAAAATAGAATAATTTCACAGAAAATGGACAGAAGCACAGAGGAAAAAGCACTAGTGCTAAAGCAAGCCCTGGGACAGAGTCTTGGAATTCTGATCCCATTGTTACCAAACATTCCAGCTCGAACCAAGGGCCCTGCTGCATTTCAGCAGAGAGGTTGCTGTGGACCAGCTCAAAGCCTTAGCCTTGTGTGTGAATCCGACATTTGGAAAAGGTACCATGTCAACCTCCTCTTGTGCTCACAGCAGTCTACACGGAGAGAGAAAATCACAGAAAGAAAGGATAAAGGGAAGGGCACTTTTCAGAGCTTGCAGTGGGTTGGGGTGTTCCTTTGCAGGTGATGGGGGCAGCTTTCTTTTATCCTTTTGCAGGACCAGAGCTCTCTAGGAATCTAAGGGAAGATAGAGGCCTATCCATCCCAGAATGAACAAGGCCCATATGTCATCTTTTTTTAAACAGCGGTTTAACTTGGCCATTTGTGGTTAATGGGCCCTTTTAGGGAGATATTGGCACCTACCTCAATGATTAGCGGTGGGTGAGAGCTATAAGTATCCTCCCTCACAACCTAACACGAGAGGTACGCTACAGTAGAGTAGGCCTCTGACCAAAGTCTTTGTCACATCCTTACTTTATATGTGATTCTATTTCAAGTGTCTGTTATATCTCCTAGCATATATTAGAGGTTCAATAAATATTGCTTGACTTAATGAATAAATGAATTCTGTCCCATATACAATTATGAACAAGCAGACACATAGGTGATCATCCAACCTGTGCTTTAGGCCTATGACATCCCAGCTGTCTGTCCCTTGGGCACTGTGATAACAATCCTTAAGCAAGTGGGTTTGTTCGACCATCCAGAGGCAGGAGATAACTGGCAGAACAGAACTGAGCCCTGGAACTCTGCAGGGTATAATCTGCTGGCCAGGCCAGATATCTATACTCCTGTTCACAATGACTAAGGGATACACTAACCAAACAGCATATCTTTTTTTCTGAGACAGGTGCAGTGCCACAGTCATAGCTCATTGCAGCCTCAACCTCCTGGGCTTGAGTAATCCTCCCACCTCAGCCTCCTGAGTAGCTGGGACCACAGGCATGTGCCACCACACCCAGCTAATTTTTTATTTTTATTTTTGTAGAGATGGGGTCTCCTTATGTTGCCAGGCTGGTCTTGAACTCCTGGGCGCAAGTGATCCACCTGCCTTAGCCTCCCAAAGTGCTGGGATTACAGGTGTTTGGCCCAAAGTGCGTATCTCGGACACCACTCATATCACCAAGAAAATTTATTTGTAAGATCACTTTGCTAATTAACAAACCTTCTAGTTCTGATTGAGATAGTGTTGGCTATCATAGCTACCTCTGGGATACAGATCTTGGATTAGGTTCTTTCAGATGCTAAGCAACAACCAACCCTGGACTGTGGATTCTTGATTAGGATACACTAAATATTAGCCAATTCCCCACTAGGATATAGAATAAAAATATAACAAAGGTATGTAGCCATACTATTTGTTATTGAAGTGTTTTATAGACTATATAATTTGGTTTTTTATGTATGGATTTGTCTTCTAAGTCCTTGCCTATTAAGCCATCAAGGGACTACCACTGTTCTGAACTACTGTGTTAATAATTTTTAAACGTTTAAATTAAGTTTGTTAATCACAATTATATCATTAACAGTTCATCTGAATTACAAATGTGCTAATCACAGGTAAAATTCACCAAGGGACTCATACGTGGCAACTATAGTCTGTTTGCATAAACTCTCTTGCTTCTCCTACTGATTCTGAGGGAGGCAGAAATTCAGGCCCACAGCAAGGTACAGTCAGGCCTTCTGGTGATGGCAGAGCTGGGAACTTGACTCCAAGTCTCCAGCTCCTCTCAGGATGTAATTTCTGTGAGTCCTGGTGTTGCCACTTACTAGCTTGTGACCTTGACCAAATGATGTAACCTCTCAGGCCCCAGTTTTCCAATCTGTAAAAATGGGTAAAATGGTAGCACCTTTCTAGTAAGGATGTTGAAGAATTAAATGCAAAAGTACGTATATAGTTCCTAACACAGCATCCAGCAGGTTGCAAACTTAAACATGTGTCATCACTTGATTCTAATTAATTAGAGCTAGGATTCTACCTGTGGACAGGTATGCTTTCTCCTAAGGGGGCCAAACTTGCCTAATTAAAGAGTCAAATGGTGCATACTGAGGACTGCAGCCTCAGTCTCTCAAGGGGAAAGCCTGGAAATAAATAATTTTGGCAAGTGCCCAAAGCGATCCTTCAGATTAAACAACTGTCAGAAATGCTCCCTGCTCTGTATTTACTGCTGCCCAAGCTCCAGCCTCTCGTGTGGTTGGTTATCATGCTCTTGGGGCCAAATGTGTGTCATGAGCAGGAAAGCTATTTCTTTGAACCCTGCCTGGCTCAACAATAACTCTCCTGGGATCCTGTTTCTTGAAATTCAGGGTTCTGCCTTTTTTTAACTGGCAAATTTTGTCACTTCTCCACTATGACTGATCTTTTTGAATTCTCAATTCACTAGCTATTTTTAACTAGCCCAAATGTCATCTGGAAAACTAATGTGCACACTTTGATCTCATCAGTGATCGCTAGTGAAAATGGTAAATATCCCAGTCTCAGCCCCTCTCCTTCAGCATTTTCTTTGCCTCCAAGTTGAATCTAAATCACTAGGTTTGACCTTTCAGGCAGTTGTGTGCACAAAAGGAATTGTGGTGTGAGCAGGTTTTTTCAGTTAACTTAAATATGTCTTGCCAGATGGGACTGAGGCCATTCCAAGAGGCAGTGCAGGTCTCTTGACTTGGTCTTGCAGTCATATCCCCATGTCATGAAAAACAATGCACATGGCCGGACAAGGCTTGTTCTTGGCTCAGCTCTGCTGATTACCATTTGCTAATGTAGCATCTTCCATTTATAATTTCTCCAGAAGAGTTGATGTTTCTCCAGGTGTGGAAGTTATGTGAATAGAATTCTCAATGGTAGGCTGCTGCTTTTCATTTGTTCTTCCATCCAGTGCTTAGGGAACACTGACACTGCCTTCTAGCTAGTCTTCCTGCCCCAGAGTGGATCACCTCGAATCCATCCCCCATGCAGCTGCTCCTGGAGTTATCTTTCTAAGACACAGATCTGACTTTGTTAGTCAAGGATGAAATTCCAACTCCTCAGCTCGCCATACAGTCTTCTCTTTCCACTCTCAGCCTTGCACGTTCTCTTCTGGTAATACAGACTGCTTCTCATTTGCACATACAGTGTCTCATTTCTTTAAACCATTGCCTCTGGGACCAGTGATGGAATGAGGAAAAGCCAGGGAGGGTGCTTAGGACCTGCTTCGTGGTGAGGATGGATGCACGTGCTCTGCCTAAGCATATGGACAGCTGTGCTGCCTGCCTGGGCCCGGACTTTGCTGAACTGGACAGGAACAGAGACCTGTGTCCTTTGTCCCCATCACAGGCTCATTCTGGGGGGCTGCTGCTTTCCTGCTTGGCCTACTAAGCTTTTATCTCAACTGGACAGTTCTGTCATCCCCTGAGACTGGGAGTGGGTCCTGTGAGTCGGAAACTCCAGCTTGCTCTGCCCATCTCCACTTCAGGGGGAGAAGCCCAAAGTGAACCGTGGACCACATGTAGCAATCACGAGGTCGACGAGGGCCAGGCCCTGCAGACAGTGGGTGCTTATCACTATGAACAACCTCTTTTTTCACACTTAGTTGGCTTACATGATTTTCTCTTACATATTTGAACAAATTTCAATTGCTTTTTCTATCTCAAGTGACCCTGAGTCTTCACACACAGTTCCTACCCTTCCACGTGGAAAATCATGCCACAGCACTTAGGAACTAGAGAGTGAGTTGTGATGGTGTGTGTTGGTGCATGCATGGGGGAAAGGCTGAGGTGGGCGGGTCACTTGAGGTCAGGAATTTGAGACCAGCCTGGCCAACATGGCAGAACCCCCATCTCTACTAAAAATAAAAGGGTGAGTTTCCTCTATCTCGTGAGATGGTTTGCCCTTCTGTCATAGGATAACACAGCACAAAGTCCTCACCAGATGCTGGTACCATGTTCTTGGGCTTTCTAGCCTCTAGAACTGAGAGTCAGATAAACTTCTATTCCAGCCAGGCATGGTGGCTCATGCCTGTAATCCCAGCACTTTGGGAGGCCAAGGCGGGCAGATCACTTGAGGTCAGGAGTTTGAGACCAGCCTGGCCAACATGGTGAAACCTTGTCTCTATTAAAAATACAAAAATTAGCCGGGCGTGGTGGTGGGTGCCTGTAATCCCAGCCACTTGGGAGTCTGAGGCAGGAGAATCACTTGAACAAACCCGGGAGGCGGAGCTTGCAGTGAGCCAAGATCGCACCACTGCACTAAAGGCTGGGTGACAGAGCATGAGGCTCCATCTCAAAAATAAAAAATAATTTAAAAAAATCATTGCCAAGACCAATGGCAGAGTTTTCTTCTATGTTTTCTTCTAGTGGTGCTACAGTTTTAGGTCTTATGTTTTGTCTATAATCTATTTTGAACTGATTTTCATACATGGTATAAGATAGTCTAATTTCATTCTCCTGCATGTGGATATCCAGTTTTCCCAATATCATATATTGAATGTATGAGAGTTTAAGAAGCATAGGGAATGAATCTAATCACCCCAAAATTAATTTTCTCTCTTTCTCCTACACAGCCTCTTGATTTTGAAACAGCAGCTATTTCCAACATTGTGTTCAAAGCAGAAAATCCTGAGCCTCTAGTGTTTGGTGTGACGTACAATGCAAGTTCTTTTGCCAAGTTCACGCTTTTTGTGACAGATGTGAATGAAGCACCTGAATTTTCCCAATACGTATTCCAAGCGAAAGTCAGTGAGGATGTAGCTATAGGCACTAAAGTGGGCAATGTGACTGCCAAGGATCCAGAAGGTCTGGACATAAGGTAAAGGGCAACAGTGCTGGGCAGGCCTGGCTGCGTGGTCATCAAAGTCAGTGGGGAGGAGGAGGAGGAGCTGGCCTGCACTGACTCCAGGGCTGACCCTCACAGCACACCCAGCAATGATGAACTTGGCCTTGGTTTAGGAAGGTGTCAACACCCTGGGGGCATTCCGAGGGATGGTGGTTCATCAATAAGCATCTAGTCTCAGACAAGTGGGAAGCAGTGTGAGGTTCCATTCCAGCCCATGAGCTTCAGGTCTCAGCTGAGAGCTGGATGGTTCAGGTGAGGTTTACCTCTGAGAGAGACAAGATGAACCAGGCCCTGTGTCTGAGCCAGTTATCTAGGCTGGGTTTAAGAAAGGGTTCCAGCCTTAAAGGTGTATTGGAGATCTAGACAGAGAGACCAAAGCCCAAATGGACAGACCATGCCAACTTACAGGGCTGAGGGAATCTTCTGGATGTAGGATACATAGGTTCCTTGGCTCCAAAGAGCACCCCTGGAGAAGCTGGTGCTCTGGCTGAGGTGGCTGAACAAAATGTATTAACAGGACTTATTACTGCATTCTGAACTCAGTTGATGGTACCTCCTGAACACTTATCCTTCATTTGCCCTCTGGATCGTACCATTACAGAACACCTCTTCCAGTCTCCCTTACACACACACTCTCCTGACCTACTTAATGTGTATAGTTCCTTTCCTTGTACAACAACAGTGCCTTATTTTTCCACTATAAATTTTTTATTCCCAAGTCTTAAGACCAATGGATTTTTATCATGTTTCTGGAAGGTAGGAACTTTTGTAAAGAAATGGTTAAAGATTAAAAACAGAGCGCGCGCGAGAAGTTGACTCAGTAGTATCGAGCCGGGACAACCATAGAGTTATCCCCTCCTGTTTCTTGTCCTTTCTCTGTAAACTACAGAAGTGTTGAGTAAAACTGTAGGGTAACCTTGCTCTCAACTGAATCGAGATAAAGGTCTTAGAAGTGGATCAAGGCTGAAAGAACAGCTCAATGGGAGAAGACTCCCTCACAGATGGTTAGAGACAAGTTAAGGAATTGTTCTTGTCATTCATAGCCACACGTCCATGATTATGTCATGCTGAAAATTTATTATGCCAATAACAGGAGGTTAATGACAACAGCAGCACCCGCTCTTGAGTCAAGTCCTTATTAATCTCATGACTATAAAGATCCTGTATATTATACGGATATAATCAAACATATTCTCTTAGCAAATTAATCCATCATTGTACCTTTTTAAAGGAAAACTGTGTGGGATCTTATGAACTGAAAAACAGTCTGCTGTGGTTA